AATCACATTTTCAGAATTGGAAATCCGGAAAGGGTCTTGCATCAAAACAAGGTTGATCTTTTCGGTGAGAAATTTGGACACGCAAGCTTGCCACGTGTTCCTCTCCGAAATAATTGCCCGGAACGGACTTCCCTCTTTGTGCGTTTTGACGGAGAACCGACCGTACAAGTTCTTGTACGGTCGGACCGACCGTACAAGAACTGAGAGGCAAAGATCTTAAACTTTGCCTTTCCGATAAGGAAGGAGGATTTGTGGTTCTTGACTCAGGGGCTTTTGGAGAGAAAGCTCTTCAAGCCATGGACAAGAATTTCGTTCCAGTGGATGTCAATAGAACTAAAGTAACAAAAAGAGCCATTCTCACGATACTAGAGAAAAATCATCAAGGGGGTTTGTGCTCCAAGATCAAGGCAGCCAAGATTGACCAGTTAACGGTGTTCTTCTCCGTCAAAACGCACAAAGAGGGAAGTCCGTTCCGGGCAATTATTTCGGAGAGGAACACGTGGCAAGCTTGCGTGTCCAAATTTCTCACCGAAAAGATCAACCTTGTTTTGATGCAAGACCCTTTCCGGATTTCCAATTCTGAAAATGTGATTTCTTTTCTTAAAGAAAAAGGGAACATCATCGTTTCTGGGTTTTCCGTGGACGTTCAAGATATGTACTACTCCATCCCGCATGCACGTCTACTACAAGTTCTTCGGTCAAACATAGAAGATCAAGGCCTCACGTCGTTCCAGAATGCGGCAGGGATGCAAGTAGATACGTTCTTAGAACTTTTGGGCTATTACCTATCAGCCACGGTGGTAGCCTACCAAGATCGCCACTACGTGCAGAGAAGCGGCGTATGCATAGGATCCAAAGTGGCCCCACATCTGTGTGAAGTTTTTCTCGGAGCGTGCGGGCGTGCCATCCAAGAAAATATTAAAGATCCAAGAATCGCGGCGATATTCAGGTATGTCGATGATTTCCTCATTTTATGCACTACAGAAGTTGACGATCATATCGACGGGTGCCTCAACAACATCCTGAGGAGTTTTCAGCACTCATGTATGGGGCTCACTTTCACGCATGAGCTTCCAGAGAGGAAAACCATCAAGTTTCTGGATTTGGTCTTGGAGTTCAGAGCAGAACATGTTTGCTGGAGATACCAAGCCCGGTCAGGCAAAGGGTTTCTCCCCTTCTCGTCGCAGCATTCAAAAACTGTCAAGCAGGCGGTAGCTTTCACAGCCCTGTTTTCTAGCCTGAAGAAATCCTGTGAGCATCAGCTCTTCCCAAGTTTTGAGATGCAAATATCCAGACTCGAAGACGCGGGTTACCCGCGACATGTAATTGCCTCCGTGTGCGAAAGAATTTGCCGCACCATCAAGACGACTTGCGGACGCAACGACCCTTCCACAGAGCAAAAGAAGAAAAGAAGACCGTTTGTGGTTGTTCCATATATTCATGGGATTACGCATAGGTTAAAAAAGATGGGCAATCGACATGAGGTACAAGTGCTGTGTTCGGCGCCCAATAAGGCCTATTCGTTGTGCCGCAGGGTTAATCAAGGGCAAACCAGCAACAGCAAGGTTTGTGGCACCAATCACAGGACGGTTTATGCCCAGTGCGACAAGGAGGTTATATACCACATACCCCTGACATGCGGCCGCTGTTACATCGGCCAAACCGGGCGGTGTATAAATGATAGGACTCGGGAACATGCCAATAGCCTGAAGACCTTGACGGCAGCAGGTCACTTAGCCCTACATTGCCGCGACTGCAAGTGCAAGGCAAACCTAGACAAAGTTACCGTCATGGGACACCATCGAAACCGGTTTGCACGCGAGGTTTTAGAAGCTTTAAACATACAAGAGAAAGGGGACATGTGTGTTAGTTCACCCTCTGTGACCTTAACCAGAGAAGAGAGAACGTTCTTGCGAAGGGAAGTACCGCCCACAAGTAGACAGACGAGGAGGATGCCTTAGTTTAATAATGAGGAAAAAGAGGAAGAAGTGAAGCAAGCTAGGTATGATTGATCCTAGCCTGTCGATGAAGATGAAGTGTTTCATTAAATTTCAGTTGGTAGTCCAGCGGTTGAATGCGTCTCTCTCGTCCTTCTTACATTTGTGTGCTTGGGTTGTTCAGCTGGTGTCTATTAAGTACTTGAAAACTCCTTGCATTTTGCCTAGGTCGACGTTCACAAATCTAAAATGTCCCACTTCTGATAAACCATTTTGCGAAAGTGCCAGGAAAAAAACACTTGTGCGTGCCAGAATATTAAACGTAAAGGAACGATGGCAATTTTTGTCTGCTGCTTAATTGAGTTTCGTTATTATCTTATCAATCTTAAACTAAAAATTAAACAACATAAATAATTGTAGACAGAAATGTAACTATATTTTTTTTTGTTTAGTTGATAAAATATACTTCTTATTTTTAAACTACTGTGCGATCGGGTATCGTGCAGTGGTCTACTAAAACTTCGTATTCTTCAAAGGGCCACAGATGTAGGGCTATTTTATTGCCGAAACTTGTTTGTACCACATTCCTGCTCCTGCAACGTTCATTGTATCTAGATTACCATCTTCGATTCAAGCCAATAACACAAAATTCGCTTTGATTTTATTCTTAATTGTATTATGCTAGGTGTGACCGAACCTTTAAGGCATCCATTTAAAACAGTAAAAATAATTGTCACTTTTCAACTGACACACTGAAGTGTTAGTGTCGAGGGCGACCAGAAGCTCCGCTGTGATTGTCTTTTCCTGACTGGCTTCGTTGGGGATTTTCAAGTAAAAAGTCAAATTTTGGGGTTTTACGTGCCAAACCTACGACGGGCATCTGGCACGCCCCAGCGGAGGATTGAGGATTAATTTCGACCACCTGGAGATCTTTTGACGTGCAACCGAAAGCTATTTTATTTTTGGTAAGCCATGACGTGCCTCACGAATTTAAGAATTAAGATAAACGCATCGGTACTTTATTGAAGGACAAGTGAACTCTCCCGCACTACTTCAAAAACCATTCGACGAAATGGAGTTCGATGAAATGACATTCGATGAAACCGCTCCCATGAAACGGCTTTCAATAAAACAGCGCTCGGTTAAATGTTCGGTGCCAGATATTAAAACCCGTTTCTCTCGTCCGCAGTACCGACAAATCTATGGTCTAATGGTTTTGTAACGGCGGGCTAAATATTTGTAAATAATAAGCGTTCAAAATAAAAAAAAAAGAAAGAAAAACACCAATATTTTTTTTTTTTTTTTTTTTTTATCCACGCCATATGCGTTATGTCTGGCTCATCGCGGCGTGCATAAAAGAGACGCAATTTTTCCCACGACAAGCTTCTGCTGATCATCATTCACGAGGGCGACTTCCTGACATCCCAGGGACCACCTCTGAGCTCAGCAACACCCTCGCAAACTAATGGTCTCCCCATCTGGAGGTGTTGCGCGGAACTGCCGGTAGATGGCGGCAGAGGTGTTCTCGCAAAGGGCTCTGTCTCGCGCGAGGGTTTGCGCTCCCTCTTTCAAGTGGCGGCGCGTGGCGGTAACCCCGCGCATTAATCAATGGATTTAGAAACACCCCGCGCGCTTTCCTTCCCGTTAACACTGTACACGCACACTGGACGCTGACGTCGACTCCCCAATGTCACGTGACTGGAACGCGGCTCGGTAATCCTCCGCCACGTTTCCTAAGCTCCCGCGGGTGTCCGCACGACTAGGGCCTGGATTAAAGTACGTGGCCGACGTGATAAATTGCCACCAATCGCGCGTTTTCCCGCGCTTTTGATGGCTTTATTCAGTGGCCTCTTTATTTTTGTCGCTCAGTCTGGATTAGAGAGAGAATAATGGAAAGGAGGCTTAGTCGTTTATGGTACTCTGGTCGGGAGGGCGGAGAAAGCGGTTTCTGGTGAGAACCTTTCCGATTTTTTTTTATTCCAGCGTTTATTTGTCAAAACTCGTTTTAGGTGTTATCCACGCTGTGTACACTGGGAATGAGTTCGGGTATTAGATAACGCCAATTTCCGACAAGCGTGTGAAAAAAAAAAAAAAAATGTTTGTTTTGATTGCACAAGTTTCTCGTGAGCTCAGACTCGGCTTTCAGCATGTTATGTGACACGGATCTCTACGAAGAATATGAAGTCACGACTTCGTTACATAGCTGGGACAATGACTTTGACTGATGAGCCGAAAAATAGAATAAAGAAACCGAAAACGGAATAAAGAGAAGTTCGAAAATTACTAGACGTTGCTTCGCGCGGACCGACGGTTCCTTCGGGCAATATATAGCCATTTTTGGCTCAATTTTCTATTAATGTCTTTTGATATATATCGGAGGCTAATAATGTCAGTTATGTCACCATGCACGTGAGGCTTAAAAAGTCAAATTTGCAAAATGTGCGTTCATACAGCCTAAAGTAGGTTTCCCTGAAATGTGGCGTTTAATATAAAAATTTTTTTTCTTGACTATCTTTAATGTCGCCAGCGAACAGGCACTGTTCACTGCGAAAGATTGCGTAAATCATCATAAATGTTAGTTTTTTCTTCTTTTACATGATGGACTAAAACCCTGAGATAGGGACAATGAGAGACGACACTACACAGAAGTTTCATATGTTCCAACCTCAACATTTCGTTTTTATCCTACCTTCCTGCTCATCATCTTTTCTGTTATTATTATTATTTTTTTTGGAAGAAGGGGGGGGGGGGGGGGAGGCGCGGGGGGGGGGGGGGGGGGGGAGGGGTATCTTATGTTTATGCTTATTGCGCTGGTGGGGTGGTATTTTAGCAGTTTCAGTTTCTCAAATGGCCTCTATGCTCCAAAGGGCCACAATATTTTGTATTTATAATTTCGATAAGATTAAAAAAAAAAAAAAGAACATACACAGGCAATTTTGCTATCGTTGTGTATGCCCATGCGTATCCTCAGAGCTGACTCTGCAGGTTTATTTTTTCTGTCCACGCAGGGTATAACTCCAGCTGACCAGCACCCCTGAGATCAAGAGCGCGTCCGGCGTCACCATGACCACTGTGATCATAGACAACGGCTCAGGCACATGTAAAGCCGGTTTCCTCAGTGACGACATCCCGAGGGTTGTCTTCCCGTCATGCGTCGGAACTCCCGACAAAACCGTAAGTAGTTGCTTGGCAGGATATCTGCCACCAGACAGTGTCTTTAAACCAATGGCATAAACACAGAGAGCCCTTCATGTGCTTCTTTTTCCTTCGGGACAATGTTTTCTGCAGGGGCGGTCGTGAGGTGACGACTGCAATGTGAGAAAGAGAAAACTAATTACAAATATTGAATACTTATCTTTCCGAAAACGAGCTGTATATGCATGTCCAAATGAGATATTTGTAGCCCGTCGTCAAAATAGACGACGACAGTTCTTACAATTCAAGACAATACAATTCTTAGCGCTAGTCAAGGTGGAATTTAGGCTTTAATGGCGTGTATTGTATGTTAAAAGAAAAACAAAAATGCCCCTAGTACGGTGCCTGAAATGAACGCGTCTTTGACTGGTGTGTTTACCTACCACGTCCAAAAAAGTGCTCCCTCGATTTCCGCCTGATGACGTCATAGAAGTGTCATGCTATCGCCAGTGGCGATCCTGGCGGCGTCTCAACAGCGGTGGTGTATGTGGCAGACGCCTCTTCTGCTGCAGGTCACTCTCCAGTGTAGCAGTCCACGGAAGCTTCCGTCGACTGCCGAAGTGTCATGCAAAAGCATGACACTATGGCTTCTGTGACGTCATTTGCTGCTACTTCGGGACCACTTTTGATGTAAGGGCAGCGTAGGACGCTAAACACATCAGTCGGAGACGTGCTCCAGGCACCTTAGCTGAAGCACGAAGAGCAGAAACATTTCGATCCTGGTAGATCCTTTTTCAGTCGGCTAAAGAAAACGCCGAAAAGGGATCTCCCAGACCCGAAACATTTCTTTTAGCTTCGCTTCGCAGATAATCTTCAATAAACTGTACTTTTCAGAAGTAACTTCAGCGAATAAAATGGCAAATCTTATGACTGCAATGCAAGATAATACCAAACTAACTTAAAGTAGAAAAAAAAAAAACACAGCAACAATCGATTGATTTGGTTTGGTTACATCCTCCATCCAGAAAGTGCTGCCTGGAGCCGGACAGAAGGAGTACGCCGTTGGGGACGACGCCCTGCTCAGAGGCGACGTCCTTGCCGTCAAGGACACCATCGAGCGCGGCCTGGTGACCGACTGGGACGACATGGAGAAGATCTGGCACTTCACCTTCTACAACCAGCTCCGTGTGCTTCCCGAAGAGCACCCGGTGCTCGTGACCGATGCCCCCCTCAGCTCCAAGGGTGACCGGGAGAAGATGGTTCAGATCTTGTTCGAGAAGTTTAGCGCTCCTTCGGTCTACGTGGCCTCCCAGGCCGAGCTCGCCATGTTCCAGACGGGCAAGAAGACAGGAGTCCTGCTGGACTGCGGGGACGGCATCACGCACGCGGTGCCCATTCTCGAGGGCAAGCCCGTGACCGACGCCATTGTTAGACTGGAGCTTGCTGGCAGGGACCTGACGGAGTACCTGATCAAGTTCCTTACGACCAAGGGCCATAGCTTCGCCACACCCAGTATGTGGAGTCTGTTGTTCTTTGCTTTGGTTACCGCTTACTCAGCTATTATCCCCGAACCCCCTTGTCTAATGATGACCTATATCCTTTATCCACCTCATGTGCTTTCCTTCCATTAATGGCGGCGTTTACGACAAGTTAAAATGCGAATTAAGCCTTTTTAAAGCAGGACAAGCCTGGTGGATGCACAATTTAGTTTACCTTTTGTTATCTCCCGCTCAATAGGAGTACACTTGCGCAGATATGCAAGACAATTCGCAGTCGCACATCACGGAACCACTAAGGTGGAGTTAAATCAAGACCTTGTTTTCATTTGAAACATTGCGCTGAAGATAATAAACGACGTTAAGTTATTATACCCTGAGGAGGTTTGAGGACTTCACTGTTTTATGTTCTCTTTGATCTGTTCAGTTAAAGCTGCGCTCTCGTCCAGTGTATACATAAGCGACAAAGTGGTAGCCGACGCTTCGACAAAAATCTTAGTTATAGCTGAGAGCCTAAGTTAAAGATAATATGTCAAATGCGATAGCACTTCTTACTCGGTTATATGTTGCGCGGTTTTAGCGACACCCAGGCCCGTAGCCAGGGGGGAGGGGGGCCCTAGGCCCCCCCCCCCCTCCCCCCAAATGTGTGTGTGTGTGTGTGTTTTTTTCTGGGGGGGGGGGAGGGGGAAAAGCTCTAGGACGGCTTCGCGGATGTCAAGCGAAATCACATCTTTTTTTTATTTCTTGTTTTTTACAAACATGTCGGTTAGAACTATGTACGTGCACACGATGGCCCACGGGTTTACGTCCATAGCTTTCAGATTTGACGCCGATGTAGTTTTCAGATGCAAGTCAAGGCTGGGAGACCTGTACAAGACGGTAAACAGAAAGGAACCCAATCCCGCCGCCCCGCTGCACCAAGTAACATGCTAAAAGGCTTAACACGTGCAAGACTGAGCAGAACTTTACAGGCCCGTGCTCTGTGGCCGCTGAATTCATCGGCCAAACGGGTCGCTGCATAAACGACCAGTTCCGGGCGCATCACAAAGAAGTAGAGGACGCAGCACCCAACAATCAGCACCCGATAGACACGCAAAGACGGGAATGTCGCGGCTGCGCTCCCGACTCGCGACGATGCCGGTAAATCTTCGTGAACGCGCCTTTCGAATGATGACAAGCCCGCAAATCATAGGCTCATCGTCTCTTTTGCTCAGAAAGAACTCGGGGCCCCGGTGGCTCGACTGATGTCATTTTATCCCTAAATCAACGCCCCCTCCCTCTTTCTTCCAATTCTTAGAAGTCGTGGCCTCAAAAAATACCCCCCCCCCCCCCCCACACACACACACAGAAAAAAATTCTTGGCTACGGGCCTGAGCCCACACCACATTAACTACCCACACCCTGGACTTTTTCAGATGTCAGTGGCTACGTGTAAATGCTTCCTGGCATATATGCATGTGCTTCGATTTTTGACGCTTAAACGCCACTTGCGGCTATAGGTTTATTTAGTTATTTATTTCACATACTATCAGTTCTATATAGGACTATATTATGCGTGGGTTAATAACTAATACATAAAAATAACAACTATACAACACTGATCTGCGACACAAGAACGGATAGGACGACATTTCCAGGCAGTCCACGTTCATTGCATGTTTTGTTTATCCAGTTCCATCTTGTTGACATCCAAACTGATTGGTTTCTTTGGTTCTTTCCTGAAAAGAACACTCCCCGTTAGGGGGCGCCATACGTCCCTATAATATTAGCGCATTTTCGTTCACAGAAAATTAGGGATATGAATGGCTGCTCTGGTGTCTTTCGCGTAACCACGATAAGATGCTCACAGACAAACCGCGTCTTAGCAAGTTATCTCTCCACGTCAACGAGACAAGGCTGACGAAATTAGGTATGAACACACTAATGAAAGTTACTAATGCGGTCGTGTTCGCTTACAATAGCCGTTTTATTTACCAGTCCTTCTACGACCTCTTATATCGTCCTTCTTTGTGTATCATTGCAGTTGATCGGGATGTCGTCCGGGAGATGAAGGAAAGGCTGTGCTACGTGGCCGCGGACTTTAAGCAGGAATCAACCAAGTCCACGTCCGCCCACGAGGAGTCGTACAAACGTCCCGGAGGTCAGCTCATTCGAATTGGCAACGAGAGGTTCGGTTGCCCAGAGGGCCTGTTCCAGCCCTCCCTCCTGGGTCTGAAGGTACCGAGCTTCCAGGAGACCGTGGTCAGCGCCATCACGAAGTGCGACGAGAACACCCGCAAGAGCATGAAGGACATCATCCTGTCCGGAGGCACCACCATGTGCCCTGGCTTCGAGACGCGTCTCCAGAAAGAGGTGTCCACGCTCCTGGCGCCCTCCGGCCTCAAGGTCAACATCGTCGCTCGACCCGAGCGCAAGTACTCGGTCTGGATCGGCGGCGCCAGGTTTGCGGCCAAGACCAACTTCTACACTCTGCGGTTCAACAAGAAGGAGTATGAGGAGTCGGGCGCCAGCGCGTTGCACAAAAAGTGCTATCCAGGATTTGCGGCGTAATTCGGATTCCCTCCTCGTTGTTGTTGTTGTCTACAAACACTTCTTTTTAGTGATAGCTTTTTAGTGACGTTGGGTTAGTTTTGCTTGCCTCGAGTTTCATGTTTGTTGCTTTGTTGAGCTTGTGTTTCCTTTGTCGCGCTAGCTGATCAACGATAATGACCACAAGAGTTAGAAACACAATATTATACGTAGTATCGATGGTCAGCTGCGAAACAGCAATTAAATTAAATTTGGTCAAACTACCGATTACATACGGAACGTTATAAACACATATCAAATGAAAAAAGGCACCCTGATAAAAAAAAGAAATTATAAAAGGACGGGCATATTATACTATAACTGCCACGAACCGTCAGTTACGTTATCGAAAATGGTTTTCCGTAGCCCTCCAGCCCTATCCAAAACTTCCACAACAGTGCGGACTCGTCTATGAGCCTTTTCCTTCGCACGCAGTGCAGTGTCCACAATCCGTAATACAGTCCATAGCCTATACCTACACAAGAAAGGCCACAGAAACAGCTTAAATTTACAACGAGCAACTTCAATTACTAAGAGAAAGGGAACTAGAAGGAGCGTACCATATTAACCTACATTTTTTTTATGCTGATATTAGTCATTTACAGGACCGTACATGCGTCCCGCTTTTCGATAGACTCCCCCTGTAGCCGAATGTCCTTGCTGCACCTGTGTAGCGGTCCATTCACACCCTGCTGGAACCACTTTTTGGGAGTGACTTACACCCACACCTGGACAGCTGCTCTAGCTAAACATGAAATAACGTCCTCGCAGGAGTTTTTTCATTGCACCCAACAGAGGACTACCACTGAAGGCTCAGTCAGGTCATATACCCGTGCAGGGCCCAGCGTCTTAATCATGTTTACGCGTTCCAAAAAGACGGCCGAGCCTGATCAGACGCCGGCCAATCACGGCCTCGCATGAATGCATATAAAGCAATGACTGACCGGCGCCTGATCGTGTTCAGTCGCTTTTCTAAAGGGTGATTCACACACTTGCATCGAGTCGAGTCCCACAGAGTGCTTCTGCAGCGGCTTGAGACGCAGCTGTTGCCATAGCTACCCGTACGTCCCAAGCTGTTGCAGTCGTGCTCGGTCGAACTCACGCGAGTGTGTGAACCCACCTTAACACGTCGTACGACCAGTCAGACGTTTGGTTGCGGATATGTTTGGCCTCACGGGCCCCCAGTGGTTATCACCTGTTGGATGGCACGAAAAAAAACTAATGCGAGAACGCCATTCCGTGGTCACTGGTAAGCTGGAAGCAGCTGTACAGGCGTGGGAAAGGGAGGCACTCCCCAAAAAATGACTCCAGCAGGCCACAGAGAGGCTGCCACTGAGGTGGTACAAAGGCATTCAGTTACAAGGAGAGGTCGTAACTAAAGGATACGTATGCACCGGTCTCTAAATAGCCGGTATTTGCAGCAAAAAATAAAAGAAAGAAGAAAGGCAAATCAATATGGTACGTTTTTTTTGTAGATTTGGGTAAGCTGGAGGAGACGCCTTGAGGTTATTCGAAGGTCGTTTAACGAAAATGTGACGAGTTTTTGAAATTCTTGATGAAAGTGTTCATATACCTACGCAGGACTCGAATGAGAGAGAAAGTGATGAAGAGCGATGGAGATACTCTCTCGCTCTTGTGCTTGTAATAAGCAGCCCATAAGTTTGAAGATAGAGCACGCGAAGAATTCTTTGCTGATCTGTCCGCTCTGTGCATTTGTTTTACTTCTAATGGCTGTATATACTGTGCGCGCTTTTCGCGTAGGCTATCGGGTTACTGAGACCAACTTGTTCCCTTTCTTGTATCCTCTAACGTCACGAAATGCGTTGTACGAAATGAACAAATAAAAATATTGACAGACAAACCAGAGTGAATTTGCTCGTTCCGACGAAATGATTCTTGTCTCGAATGATTACGCGCGTATTAAATAAAAATAGCAGTCAATATGTCACTCATGCTAATGCGTTCGTATCCTTCACAAACCATTACACGTGTAACTAAAAGAATAATAATAATAAATATAATAAAAGGCTCCACAGTGTGTGATCGTTCAATCCAATTCGAAACATATATGCATCTGCATGGTTAAACATCGCATAATATGATAAGATGTTCTGAGTATAAGGGTTTCAAGAAAGGCAACTGCAGTAGAGATTTGCAGTTGAACTGCGGCGAACAAAAACAACTTCGACAAAGCTGTGACACTAAGCATAAGCGTCATAAGAACTGAGGGCTTTGCGCGTAGAGACACAGACCAGAATTTGTTTTTAGGGTGTCCGAATCTGCACGCGCCTGTCTTGGGGCGACGACATGAGACCATTTTGTAGCAGGATACTTCTTTTTCTCCTTCACCTTGAAGCATTTGAAAGAGCGTCTCCCGCTTGGAACTCATTCTTTGGCCAGTGCTTTACTACTATTGTAAATCACGCATCTTTTTTTTTTTTTTTTTTTTTTTTGCGATATTACACGTTGTCAGCTTCGGGTATGACAAAACGTGGCATCACCCCAAGACGAACAACACTGACACAAAACGAAAAAGAGGTTTCTTCGAGCTGCAGGCCGGGTATAAGTAACCACACTCCAGAGCCTCGCAAGAAAAGTGTGCTGCTTCCATCCCCGCAAAAGATTGCCCGAGCGCTCTCGGAGAAAACTGGGCACGAAGTTGATCGAGGATTGCGCGGAGCATTCTCGCGGGCAATGGAAGCGGCGCGACGACACTCGCGCATATTGAAATTGCGCGCGCACCAAATGGGCCTTTCATGTAAATCGGACCTCGCGGGTCTTGCGCCGACCTCGGCGTCGTCGCCCGCCGTGCCCCACAGTCCGTTTCACCTGACGATGGACCACAGCGGACGCTACGAGCCATTCCAGCCAATCGAATGCCGCGGGACCGTCACGTGACCTTCCGGAGGGCCGCGAAGGAACGTGATGCGCTTACCGCGCTGGAGCGGCTTGGTTGGCTCGTGGCGTCCACTGTGGCCCATCATGCATGGGTGCAGCGCGACCATAGACTGCAGCCGGATTTCAATTCCTTTTTCAGGTGTGCGCGTGCGTGCGTGCTTGACTCGCTTTTTCCTGGCCTGTGTGTGTGACGCCGTTGATGCTTCGGGAACGCCTTGGCCTTGCCCAACTCCCTTCCCATTATCCCGAAGGAGATGCGCAATGCACGCGAAGTGTTCGCAGGTTGAGTACAGTCGTACACTTGAGAAGATGAACTATGCGGCGAGCGACGTAGCGGAATAATGCGGTGGTGACCGAAGCTTATTCGAAGCGACCCGTCTTTTTCCGACGGTTCATTTGAACTTTAGACTGGCGTCTTCCGGTGCGCTGCGTTTTAATAAATTACGATACTTTTTTCGTGAGGGTAACTTCGAAAAAACGTCAGACGAAAAAGCTAGATGCCAAAGTGAGGGGCAAGAGCGCTATGACCGAGCAAGGCCTCCTGGCGGGTGGAACCTCACTTGCATTGGCTGGCGTAAGCGAGAATGGGACCATAACGAACACCATTGATGTCCTTGTTGGAAGTCGCAGTGTTAGTCTTGGCACATAAACGATATCCGACTAGCGTTTGTCGCTCTGCAGCGATCCAACGACGTACTTGGAGTTAAGAATCCCGGGTTAAAGCTCTCCTGATAAACCCACCGTGCATAATCTCACGCGACGTAAGCTAGTCGGATATATTTTGACCGGATATAAACTTAAACTCTAACATGGCCTCCTCTGGTATTTTCGTAAATGTCCTCAGTGACCACCTCGCTAGTTTATGTCTTGCATCTCTTCATATAAAACAAGGTATACAATTCAAACTGATCGTTTCAGTTTCAGGAAAATAAATGAAGCTTCGTTGAGAAGGTTCCGAAACTTTTTTGCTGCTATAGACTTGAGCAGTGAATATTTAGATTACGAAGCTAATTTCGCGTATGACAGTTTCTTAAAACAAAGTTCACTAGAGTAATGCTGCAGCTTCCCTGCGGAATAAACGGAAAAACAAACCGCGGAAAACTTGGATGGTTACTGGCTTACACAGACGAAGTAATGAAAACAAAATAACAAAATGTGCCGTAATTTCCTCAAGTTTAGAGATCAAGATATTCTTACAGCATTTAAAAAAAATATAAAAACAAACTATCCTTTGACCTAAAAAAAAAGAAGCCAAGCCAAATATAACAATCATCAACGCCTGTTTTGTCGCGTCCAGAATGACCCCAAAAAGATATGGGATGCCGAGAACACGCCAATAAATAAACATAGCCATTTCCAGGAGATACATGACGTGATTGTTGATGGAAACCATGTGAGTGGTCCTGAACCTCGTTATCCAATAAACGAGTATCTTGTAAATGTTGGTTCACCCTTAGTAACTGAAAATGAACTCTCACGCTGCCTTAAGATGACCCTACTTAACAAACTCGATAATGTTATCGCCAACTACTCCTTAAGAAATAGAAGCTCTTAAAACGAGGTAAGAAATGAAGTATAGTCACCTTTCGAAATTCGCGTGCCGATTATTAGGTCGGAACCACTGATCTCTACTGTAGTAGGCTGGATCGCGGACCGCGGCGTCGGCAGCTGTGGCCGAGTGTTGCCACCGGCGGCCATTGATTGACACCAGCCGATGCATGGGACTCTATGGGGAGAACGAGAAAAAGTGACGTTTTCCCCTGTTTCTAAGCAGTTGTCGGCACTGAAATTCTTTGGATGCTTTTCGATAAGCTCGTTAAATAGCTTGCATACAAACATTAAGATCTGACAACCCTCGCAATTCCTATAAATAAATATTTTGTGGTCGAGAGTGACTCCGCTGTAGTGCAGCTCAATGATGCGAGTTACCTAGAGTTACCATGGAGTCGGTGGCGGTTTCGTTGAGTTGGGTTTAGCAGACGACAAGCTCGAAGGCTTTGCTACGCGGAATTCGCTCACTCTCGGAAAGCCGTTGTCGAGATGGAACTTCTTTGTCATTCATCAACGTCTGGGCTTCCCCGAGG